CTGCGATAAACTTGGCCTTGTAGATGATCCCATCCGTCCACTGCAGCTGAACCAGCTCCCCCTCCAGAGGGGGTCCCATTTGGATGCAGTCCCTGCTCTGAAGGCAGAGGGAAACAGGTCAGAGAGACACCACCAGCAAAGCTCAGGAACCAGAGAGGTGTTCAAATCACTGCTCGAGGAAGCTGCTACAACAAATTAGGCACAAAAGAAGTTCCTGCCCTTGGGATTAATTGTGGGCATCTCAAACCAAACCAGCGTGAGAGACCAGGAATGACAGCACCCAGTTCTAGGACATTTCTCATTACAAATCCCGAAACATCAGATCCGCTGCATCTCAGAAACAAGCAGGGCAGCTCAGTGAATCAGTGGCACAATCAGGAAGGGAATGCATCAGTTGACAAATCAGCCTCTTCTAGACTTTCCCTCTATTAAGTGAACTCCCTATTCTGAAGCAGAAGCAGCTCACAGACAATCTGCTTCCCCCATGAATCACACTTGTCAGTTGAAAAATAAGATTATTCAACCACAAAATAAAGAGGATGAAACTTAAAACAAACACCGCTTTCTGTGAAGTCATCTGCATTCAGCAAAATCATATCTTTGTCAAGCAACCAAAAAAATAAATGAGATAATGTCACAAACAAGAACTGCAATGAAGAGCAGGATGAGATTTTCTAAGCGAGGAGCGACTCAACTTCTTTAATTTTAATTTTTTTTCCTTTTTTTTTAAAATTTACTTTGCTGTTCCAGCCCAGAGCACACAAGAGGGAGTCACATATCACACTTGGCACCCATCTACAGAGTCACAGGCTCCACAGAGCTGCTTACAATGATGCTTTCGGGGTAGACGTTGTCGCTGTAGGAACCGTCGTCGAAGTTGACTTCGTAGAAGGTCTGTGTCGTTGTGCCGATCACCCTGCACCGGTAGTAGAGCCCGTTCCGGTTCTTTGTGATCACAGTCTGCCCCAGGGCCACCTCCCTTCGGAACGGGATCTGTGGGAGAGGGAAAAGGGAAACATCTGCAACCTGCACACGGAAAAGCTGCGTCAAAAATATCGACAGAATCGTGGGATGGTTTGGGTTGGGAGGGAACTTTAAAAGCAGGACCTAAACCCCCCCAAAAAAACAACCCCAAAAGCCCCAAGCCAAAGCCCTACATTCTGGTTCGCTGCTTTGTGTTTGAAGCAGGTGATGGACACCACGTAGGGCCAGTCGTCCGGCTCCATGGGCACCCCGGCCGCGTGCGCGCACGTGACGTGGAAGGACGTAGAGCAGTGCTCGTAGGAGCACTGGATGCAGGCACCCGACACCTTCTTCATCCTCTTCCGACAGTAGACACATTTCTGGAAGGAAACAAGAGCTTGGGGTTATGCAGAAAGGCAGCAGATCCAGTGGGATCCACAGGAAGTCTGTGGGATTTGTTCAGGGCTCAGGAGTCACAAGCAAAAATGGAGTTTAGTGTCAAGAGAGATTGGTTCCACACTGATAGAATTGTCTGTAAACACCTCCCTGGAACTACTTGGAAGCCAAAACCCTGGGGGAAAGGGGGGGGGAAGTTGTGGGAATAAGT